AGCAGCAGGGAGCCAGCAAGGCTTGCTGGGCTTCGCAGAGCAGAAGAGCTGGATACCTGCATGTCTTGGGAGCAAAAGGGTTTGCTAAGAGGGAGGAAGGAAAGGAGCTGGCGAATCTGGCCGAGGCTGAACGTACCCTGAAGAAGGATGCACCTCAAATACTTTTTTTTTAAAATAGATTTAGGGCTCAGTTTGCTTTGGTGTAAAGTTGAGCTCTTTTCTCGTAATAAACAGTTAATCTCAGAGCAAAAATATACAAAACGCTGTTGACAGCTGATGTCCAGTGCAGTGCAAAGAAACAGCAGCAGCATGTGCTAACTTTCCACAGGGACTTCTTGGAGAAGATACTCCTTTGAAGAGGGCATTTATGGACCTATCAACATTGACTCTGAAGGAGATTCTTAGGCAGGACTATGATCTAAACAATATTGACACAATCTTTTCTTACCATGGTATCAGTATATTCTTCCAGCTTTTCTTCAGCAACTGTCTTGTTATGCTGCAAAAAGAGATCTCGCAAGAAATCCTGTAGTAAGGAAAGAGACGAAGTTTACTCTTTAGAGTAAATTCAAGAAACAACATTAAGAAATTTGATCCAAATTCGGCAGGGTTCATGAATCTAATTACACATTCCTGATTAGTGCTACTGTCTTCAATTTCACATAAAGCTCACATATTCTTAGTTGAAACATATCTTTTCAAATAAATTAGAAAATAACCAGATTTCCCCAGAACAGGCATACTGGAATAAATTATAATTCACCCACAAAATAAGCGAAAGATAACACAAGTTATGAAGAAATCCCATTAATAACACATAACTGTTTTGACTCTGTTTAGCTGAGAGAGGCACATGTGCAAAGCCAAGTTGAGGTATGTCTGCGGGGCTCCTTGGGTGCTCAGAGAGGCGCCAAGACAAGTAGGGTCATGTAACGAGGCAAGGGAGAAGCAGGACAGCAAGGGCAACAGCAGAGCATCCTCCCTGATTTAAAGGGGAAAAGGGATAAAACCAGGCTCGCTAGAGATAAGCCTGAGGGTTGCATGCCAGTGTTTGAGGGAGGATGTGCTATGAAGGTCCTTCCATCTGCCACCTCAGTGGATGTAGGTTATGCAGGGAGAAAATCAAAAGGGCCAAAGCCCAAATAGAACTTAATCTGGCTACTGCCAGATTAAAAGACAATAAAAAACGTTTCTATAAATATATTAGCAACAAAAGGAAAGCCAAGGAGAAACTCCACCCTTTATTGGATGCGAGGGGAAGCATAGTGACAAAGGATGAGGAAAAGGCTGAGGTACTTAACGCCTTCTTTGCCTCGGTCTTTAACAGTAAGACCAGTTGTTCTCCGGGTACTCAGCCCCCTGAGCTGGAAAACAGGGATGGGGAGTGGAACGAAGTCCTGTAAGGCTTGGGGAAGAGTGGCTGGAAAGCTGCCCAGCAGAAAAGGACCTGGGGATATTGGTCGACAGCTGTCTGAATATGAGCTGGCAGTGTGCCCAGGTGGTCAAGAAGGCCAACAGCATCCAGGCTTGTATCGGAAATAGTGTGGCCAGCAGGACTAGGGAAGTGATCGTCCCCCTGTACTCAGCACTGATGAGGCTGCACCTCAAATACTGTGTTCAGTTTTGGGCCCCTCACAATAAGAAGGACATTGAGGTGCTGGAGTGTGTCCAAAGAAGGGGAACGAAGCTGGTAAAGGATCTAGAGCATGTCTTATGAGGAGCGGCTGAGGGAACTGGGGTTGTTTAGCCTGCAGAAAAGGAGGCTCAGAGGAGACCTTATCGCTCCCCACAACCACCTGAAAAGAGGTTGTAGCGAGGTGGGGGTCGGTGTCTTCTACCAAGTAGCAAGTGATAGGACAAGAGGAAATGGCCTCAAGTTGCACCAGCGGAGGTTTAGATTGGATATTAGGAAAAATTTCTTCACTGAAAGGGTTGTCAAGCAGTGGAATAGGCTGCCCAGAGAATTGGTTGAGTCACCATTCCTGGAGGTATTTAAAAGATGTGTAGATGTGGTGCTTAGGAACATGGTTTAGTGGTGGACTTGGTAGTGCTAGGTTAATGGTTGGACTTGATGATCTTAAAGATCTTTTCTAACCTAAACATTTCCATGATTTGATGATTCTATCCCTCCCAGCAGGGTCCATGCAGCTGTGCGAGAAGGCTGGAGGGTCCCCAGTCCTTAAACTCAACATGAACAACCTAAAAATGCCGTTCATCAACCACACAAAAACACAGCAAATTGTTAAAGCCAATGGAAAGGCTCTCTTTGACATCAGTGAGCTGTAGATCAAGCCCAAACAGACTTGTTAGAATAACTTACTTTGAGCTCGCCAGCTGAAATAAAGCCACTACTATCAGCATCGTAACTGCGCCAGATCTGAATGGAGATAGATTGATACAATCACATAAACATTGCAGTTAATCATCTGCTTGGGTGACAGATTGTAAAGATTCAAATCAAGGCTTCCATAAGGAGCAAGCTGTTGCATTATCCAATATGTAATTAATTGCAGACAAAATAAAATAAACTTTCCACACAACACAATAGCTTTTACTCGCATTTGGATGCTGTACATGTGACACGCTGCTATCACACGTTTAATGCAGATATGTTGTCTATAAAAGGAAGAAAACACTATGAAACCGCTCCACGTTTCTTGCCTAATTTGTACATGCAGCTTCTCTTATTGCCCTGAGTAAAAGTCAAGGCCATACACAACTGGCCATTGATCTGCAGAACTCCCAGTTTGGGTGTGAAATAAAATTAACTGCAAGCAGTCTTGGAAAAATTGAACTTCTGTGCTGGGATACTTAGGGGCAGAGAGTGGAGAGAGATTGGGTATGGTTAAGGAAACCTTATGAGTTTGTGCTTCTCAGTTGGCCCAGCTTATGGAGATTTCCACCCCACAAACTGCCAGGATAATACGTCAAGTAAAATGGGTATAATGGTATAACTTTCTCCATCTGAACAGGTCAGAACGTGTTTTCCTTCCAAAATAACCACATATTTCCCGTGAAATGTTCTATGGAGGGTGAAGGTGTATGTATTGAAGAAGCTGTTGGTGTGCAAGGGGAAGAGATAATGTGGAGGTACAGACCCTCATGAATTCCACACTGTTGTCCAAGGGAGTTTCCCGTCGGAAAAGCAGCAGAAAATTCTCATCGTCCGGCAAAATCATACTTGCAAGCTGGGAAAAAAACACATTAAAAAACCCTAAAACAAACCCAAACCATGAAAGTAACGATATGAAAAAACTTCAGTGGCAGCTGACCCAGTATGGGAAATATAAGCTGGGCATGTTGTTAAAAGTAAACTCCAAACGAAGAGATCTTCCTAACGTAGTACTCTGTGACTCAACTCCTCCCCTCCCGGGCTCTATCTCACATATCTCCCAAGTCTGCTCTAGAGAGATACCTCTTGCATTTGCAAGCGTCCATCTGTGGTGACATCATAGGCAGCCATGAATTGCTTTTTCATCCTCTGAACTTTTTCTTCTGTGATGGTGTTCTGCCATGGAGAAAACAACACGCACATGAAATCTCTCCTCACTCACAGATAGCAATCAAGATCATTTCATCCTTACAGTCGGTGGCTAATGCTTCTAAAAGCCCACAACTACACCACTTGAGATGATTTTTTGGAAATCAGTGCTATGCATAGCTTTGTAGCAACTAAGCTTCCAGTTGAAAGACCAGTGTTTGGAGACTTCAAAATATTTCGGTGACACCTGCTTCTTTAGTCAGCTGTTCCCACTATATCACTGGGATTTTATTTCACAGGGGTTTTCATGCTGCTCATTTTCATCTTGTTCTATTCAGGAAGATGTCCTTATTTTTGAGCTGCATCCCTGTAGTTCATTAGATCATCAGCTTTGAAAGATGTCAGTGGAGCTAGATTGTTGCTTACTGTTGCCTGTCAACTGGTTCAAGACCTGGCACCAAGTGCTGTCAGTGTTTTTGGGTTAATAGCATGGGATTTCAAGCAATTCACATTCCCTTTACATCTGCTCAACACCTTCATCAATTTATACATAATGAAGAGTTTTCAGGACTTGTCAGGTTTCATGTTTTGACAGGCATTGCTGTGGCAGGTGAAATACAATGCATGTGTTCATCAGGCATGATTTCTTTTTCTTAGCGGTAACCATGAGGCTATCTGACCTGACTGGGCTACACGAAGTACAAATTCCCCACCCTGGGGTAAGGCTTCTGGTCAGATGAGCTTTGTGTCTGGGCTGGGAAGCTCACCTAGTTAATCTCTCCCAAGGAATAATGAAGTCCAGTGTTACCCTCCACACACACACTGAGCAGGTACTGCCTCGTCTCCCAGTCCCATGGGAGATGGCCCTCTCTGGGAAGGGTCGGAAAGAGGAAGGAGAACCCAGACGAGCTCTTGGCATACTTTTGTAGCATTTTCTGCAAGACAATAAATGAAGTTCTTCCCTCCCCCTGAAGAAAAACACTTTGAATGTCTTATCATCTCGATGTCCAAGTAGAGGTAGGACTATAGTTGTGTCTTCCTGGGACTTCTAACCCAGTTTCTTGTCCTTCCAGCTAATATTGCAGGCCCATCAGGTTGTACAAGCCCTTTCTTAATACTGTGGCATAAGGACACGAGTGGCTTTCTCCAAGTTACTCAGTGCATACATCATGCAGCCTGCTTGGCTGCTCAGAAGCTAAACAAATATAAGTTTCTCAGGAAAGGACACTCTCTGTTGCCCTGTCCAGGCAGAATGAACAGTGGGCATGCAGGCTCTACGTGATGCCCTAGATGTGGCACATCCAGGCCCCAGGTTATTCACAGCCTTATGTGCCCCTTTAGGCCTCGATTCCACAAAGCGTGAACTGAAGTAGTGATCGTGTTGTTCTGCAAAAAGTTGCGTGGGGTGGAAGGAGATCTTTCAGTAAGATTTGTCGCCTCTGAGCAGAGTAACGTGGCTGGGCTGCACGCACAGCAACTGCAGCTCATGTTCTCTCTTTGGATAGGTGTGTGAAACCACCACACTGGAAGCTGAACATGCCTCACACCCCAAAACTGCCTTGGCCATACCCACATTCAGTAGTAGCCAGGGGACGACAGCCATTTCCAGCTGCTCTCCAGCAGTGCTGCTGCACAGCCTTTGCTCAGCAGCAGCATCTGCCACAGTCAGTGACAGAGATATAGAGACACACTAGGATGTCACAGATGAGGTAATCAAAAAGAAAATGAAGTATCTTCTGCTTAGGCTCGTTGAGCTGAGGTCTGTCTTTGCACCCACATTGTCACCAGCTTTCCCCACATGTTTAGATGTGACTGGTCTTTGCAGCCTTAATTTGCTGCGAGTACTAAGAGAAGAAAGACATCTATAGGTAGATGGATACGCAGATAGTATGACTGATCATTTATGATATAATTTAATTTGCCTTCATTTTACTTCAGAGTAAACTCAAAGCTTATGATCACTTACTTGCACAAAGTCATTATGGCTTATACAGAAATCTGCATTGTCAGTGCAGAGGATCCTACACAGAAATCAGGGGAGAAAGAGTTAATTGGCTTTGATTAATAAATGTCAAGTCAAAATAAACAAAAGAGAGCTCTGTAAAATATTTTCCACCTATGTGGATCTTTGTAGGACAGGTGGGGTGCATCTCCTGGGGTGCATCCTTGGGGCACAGTGCCGAGGGCTGGAAGCTCCCAGTTAGGGGATGAAACAGCCAGCAGTGATCCCACAGGGATGTGCCCGAGGCGGTGATCCCCTCCCAGGACCTGGTGGTGGCCCTGAGCTGGTCCCAGGGCATGGTAAAACCTGCTGTGGTGGTCAGCAAGCCCTGCCGGCCTTATGGCTGGGTGCCCACACCACTGCCCCGGATGGTGCTCACTGCCGACTCCCCTAGGTGCGGGTATCAGGGGCACAGCACACCGCTGAACACGCACATACAGTTTTCTTTCCCCTTGGCATGATAACTTGCCCTCGTGCGGTTTAAATTGCCTTCTGACAGCACCTCCACACTTTGAGACACCTCCCAGGAGTCAGGCAAGCCTATCAGTTGCTGACTTGGACAGGCTTGCCAGGTACTCTGAAATTATCCTCCTTCATGTCTGGTAGGATACATTATTTCTGAAACAATGGTCATATCTGATACTTGAAAAGTGCGCTGTGGAGTTCAGAGGAGTCATTTGTTAAGAAAACTTGTTGCTTAACTTGGTGTCGGCTATTAACCACCACTTCATGGAGCTTTGTGTGGCAGGAACATTGTCATCTGCATAAAAATAGGACTGCCTCCTTTTTTTTTCTTAATTTTTAACCGATTCAAACTATGGGATACCTCAAATAAACACCCAAAATAGTTACAGTATTTACATAGCTTCGACAGCTTTTAGTCCAAGGGGTTACACTACAATGGATTCTTCAAATTGGACAATCTCTTTCTGTTCATAAGTACTCTACTTACAAAACACAAATGGTAATGGATCTACTAAAATCCAACATTTATTCCCAAAGAATAAAAGTGAAGTAAAACATGCTGCACAAACTGGCTTTCCCAAGATGCACGCTCAAGGTAAAATTACTTGTATGTTACAAATTTTTACACTAAGAATGATACCACTTGGTTTAGGACCATTACGTTTCAAAGGTGAGCTTTATGTTTACTAAAAAAAAACAATTTCAGAAGATTTTAAAAAAATTTAATCAAATAACCCATGGCACTTCCAAGCAGAAACCAAGGTTGGGAGACCTGTCTCCAAGATGGACCTACTGCTGGTGCAGACCAGCAGCTTGCTCTGATTGCCTTTCCATTCCAAAAACATTTAAAAGGTTGGAAAAAAACTTCGCACGTGATCTGCATGATTTCTTCCCCTTGTCCAAGCAAGGACAGGGACTGCACACTCCTACTGCATTTGCTGACTCTATAATCTGATTTTGGAGGTCTGCAGCCTGTGGCAGGACAGTCTAGGCAGGCTGCAGGGCAGAGCCAGGACAGTGGGGCGGATAGTTGCCGATCCCTCTCTAAAGGCTTAGGGAGCAAGTTCTATTCTCTGGCTTGCTTAATTTTGTTTGTCTACGGTTTTGCCTCCAAACCAGGGCTGTGGCATTGCTATGGTGAAGCAGCGGCACTGGAAGCTTGTGAGCAGTTGAGCAGGAGCCTCACACCCACATGAGAGCACACTCCAGAAACAGAGGGAGAAAAATATTAAGACAAAAGTATTATCTATGCAATATTCCAAGATTTATGGAGCTGAGGTAGGATTTTACTAGCTGAACATGCTATCCTTGGTCTTATTTGTACTGGTGCAACATCCTGTGAGCCCTAGGAGGGAGCACCCCAGCTGGGACTCTGAGCTCTGCTCAGAAGAAAGGAGATGGACAGAGAAAATCGCAAGCAAAGCCAGACAGCAGGGAGATAAAGAGATACGATTTGGAGACTAATAACATTTTTTAAAGTCTTGTAGATATGGCAAAAAATTACAGTCATGTAAGTATATTAAGCAGATTTTTTTGTTTGTTTTAATAGCATTGGTGGTTTGTACAGATGAGATTCAAGTATCTCCAAAAGGGGCAAAAAAACTATTGGCGGGTGAGAAATTACAGTTGAGGCAGTTTCTGCAGGCAGGGCCCGGGCAGGGATCCAGCAACCAGCCAGAGGTGGGAGAGGGCACGTCTCCCCCATCACTGAGGCCGAGGCCGAGCTAAGATGATGGGGCAGCGAGAGGCTGCACAGGGGTATTTCCTTGCCTCCCAGATTGGGGCAATTCCTATGATAGAGGGAAAAAGATCAGGAGCAGGAGAGCAAGAAGGGGAGATCTCCAGGCAGGAGCACGCAGGGACATACGGCATTTACACGGAAACACAGGTGCTGTGCCAAGTTTCCAGCTTCCCCAGGAAGTTTGTTTTTCCTTCCTTCCCTTTAATTATTAACTCACTGTTCAACTACAGATTGCAACAAGCAGGAAAGTCTAATAACCAAACATGCTCTGCTTTCAAATGCCTCAGGCTCACGCTCCATTTACTCAAGTGCTGAATGAATTACAGGGGGAATAATTAATAAAAACACACACTGCCTTTCTGCTCTGGAAAGGAACTGTACAAATAGCATGGTACAAATTCGTGCCTCTTGTCTCCATGAGCTGGGACAAGTGGACAGGAGCTGGGACAGGTCAGCTGCGTGTTCTCACTGTCCAGTCAAGGAAGAAATCCTTGCTATGTACCATGAGGAGAAGGCCATGCCATTTTTGTCCTCATAAAAGCACAGAGTTTAAAATATTGCTGTGGCTTTGTTCATACGTTTCTCAGGACTAAGGAGTAAATTTCTTCCTGTGGATGCTCTTCCACAGGGTTTTGCAGAGAAAAGCTTCTATACTTCAAGTTGCCATAACGAATGAGTTTTCTGTTTTCTCCTTTCCATGTCCAGTCTTCATCTTCCTTTTTGCAAAAATCCTTTAGAAGTATTTAGTATCACAAAGCTAATCTGTTTTTTAACATTGTTTATAATAATGGAAAGAGCAAGCTCACATTTTTTAATCTG